TTGTTTTCGTGTCTTAAGCTTCCTTATGTATTATGGAATGCATTAGGTTAAGAATTATGGATTCAATCTCTCTAAATCAATGCACCCATATTTGATTTGATCTCCTTTTGAAAGCTTTCCAAATTTGTCAAAAACCAATCCTTTTGCACATGGTTTAGTGTGATACGAATTTGATGAGATTAATGATGATGATCTCAACCTGAAATAGCCAAAAAGATCTCAAGTAATCAATATTTGGATTTTATTTGATTTAATTTGATTAAAAATGAAATAATTCAATAAAAAATCAAATAAAATAATAAAAAAGAAACATGATCTCAAGTCGGAAGCTAGGACACATGTGCAATGGGGCAAGCTCAAATCAAGTGAAGAATGGGCCCATTTGACAAAATTTGAAGTTTTGGGGATAGTTGACTTTTGGCAATTTTACAAAAATGTCCAACTTCAACAATGCATAACTTCTTCAATTTTGAATTTTTTGAAGTGTTCTTGGACTTTTTAGAAATACTGAGATGTCCTCTAACTAACCCTTTTGGTCTCATCTCATTTTAATATTCCATTCTTAAGTTATAAGCCTTGGAAAAAAAGGTATTTTTGTTGACTTTCAAAAAGGACCTATAATGTCCAAATTTATAACTTCTTGTGAGTGCATTTTATGATCTTGGGGTATGAAGATGGATTATAGGAAATTTAATCCTCTTCAAAATGAGCTTTGGATGAGTCATTTCTCATAAAGTATGAGAAAGTTATACTTGGTTAAAGTTGAGTTGACTTTTCCTACAAAACCCTAATTTAGCAACTTTTGAGTCTTGATGAATTTTGAGCAATCCTTGATGAATCATGATCAACCCTTGATAAAATGATGAAATATCCTTCAAAATGATAATGTTGACAAAAAATCTTGAAGTTTGACTGTATTTGGGTCACAGTTGACTTTTGCCCTAGCACAGTCGATTTTTGGACCCTTTGAGCAATTGACTGAGCAAACTTCCTCTGCAAGGCTTGAAACTTGACATGGATGACCTTGAGAACATATTAGGACATTGGGGAGAATTTGAGGTCATTTGGACTCAAGGATCTTGATGCAACATAAAACCCTAATTTGGGGAAGACTGCCTTAGGAGATGACTTGTCTGACCAACTCTTGAGCAACCTTGAGCCACTTGGAGATTTTTCTTGCAATGTTTGGAGAGATATGAGAGGGAAAATTTTGGGTTACAACAAACAGTATGCAACACCAAGGGAAACGTGACCCTCAGGGGTTATTTTTAACCCTACTTCAATAGCCATGATTGAGCATTCAACGCCGAACGTGGATCTAGGAAGGCATGACATATCACCCTCTCGAATTCCATCACCTGTTCAGCTCCCCGCACATCAAACATAGAAGACCACCTTCATTTTCTCTCACAAATGTGTCCTCGAAGAAATCACGAAACAAGCCAACATGCAGCGATAAAATCACGGGCAAAACCAAATGCTCACCACGAGTGCACGCGAACCATTGACCAAGATCTTGGCACAAAACATCCCTGTCTTGATCAATGGGCACAAATAGAGCTCTTTCCTCTTCGGCGCACGGGTTGGCTCTAAGTCATTACTCCTATCCTCTAAAGCAATGAATTAGGGGGCTCGTGTTCGGGACTACGTAAGTGGCTAAGCACGGCCCAATCCACTCTTGCGTTCAGGGAGGCCCAAAAGCATTGGCCTAATCAATTAGGGCTAGAAAGGGCACTTTCCCGTATGATCCTCGGTTAGGGACACGTGTCCGGCTGCCACTGTGATTGACTATACCATATATGTCATTACATATGCCTCTGTCTATGATAACGGCTAGTTCCCACTCTACCAGTGAGATGCGGGGCAGTTTTCCAGGACGACAAGCATGAGTTGCTCATCCTTGCTTTCACACAGAAATCCTGGAAGTTACCTATTTTGGGCCTGAATTCTGGATGCCCGGCCCAGAATAGGAACCAATGACCAAGCGTTGGGGGAACTATAAATACCCTCACACTTATGAGGGTTAGGTAATTCAACTATTATCCATAAATTCTCTCACGTATCTCTACACTCTTACTTACTTCAGCATCAGAGTGTCTTGCAGGTACATCATACTCCTCCTCTGTGACTTCAACACTGTGGACGAAGTTACTGGCCTATTATAGGTTGTGATCACCAATAAGATTAGTCTCCATAATGTTTTCTTTCACAAATGTTTCTGCAGCATTCTCTAAAATGTTGTTGCTGCCCTGCAGCCTACTACTATTGCATTCTCCTTGTGTGATCATGATCAAGAGCGTATTCTCATTATCCACCTCTTGTCTAGCAACCTTAGCTCTATCTCTTTGAGATTCTCTTTGTTTCGCATTGCATTCCCTTTCTAAATGACCAAGCTTTTGGCAATTAAAGCATTGTATCTTACATTAGTCAAACTTTTTGATTTCACCTCTAAGGTTGCCTTGACTACCATTTTTATTGTAGCTGTTATCACCCCTTTGGCACGTCAAACTCTTCGAATTTTGTGACTCTTTTCCACCAAACTTTTGAAAATTCCCCTTACTATTCATGGGTCATTTTCTTTTCGACATCTTGTTCTTCTCATTGAATTGTGCTTGCAAAGAGATCTCTGCATTTGCCTTGTCTTTATTTCTGTCCTTCATCCTTTGCTCATGAGTCTAAAGAGAGCTTTGAATCTCATCTTAGCCCAATGTGAAAGATCCTTAAACTCTTCAATCGCTACTACTATATTGTCAAATCTTGCAATCAAAAAATGCAAGATCTTCGACACAATATTCTGCTCCCAAACAGCTTCTCCATAAGACTTAATTTGATTCACCAATCACGTAATTCGTGTCATGTAATCATTAGTTCTATCATTCTCCTCCATTTTAATCAATTCAAATTGACATTTGTGAGTTTGTAACCTCTCCACCTTTTCCTTAACAGCCCATGCATATGTCTTTTCCATGACTTCCCACGCTTCCTTTGCCAACTCGCAATCACTAATTTTCTCAAAGTTGTCACCATCAACACATGAATAGATCAAGAACAAAAATTTGTAACCTTTCTTCCTCGATTGTTGCTCGATGTGCATTCATTGCACCTTCGACAAGGAGATTCACCATATTCTTGGTCACTTCAAGAACATCTTGGTAGTCAAGCAATACCTTCATTTGCTTGCACCATTTATCGTAATTCTTTGTATCAAGGCTTGGTAGTTTTGTGGGGACTCTATCATTAAAGATGGAATTCATATTGCACAACAGATTATGGTTCAGAACTAAGCTCTTGGTGCCAAATGTTGGAACATACAATCATACAATTGGTGGACAATGCAGGATTTAGAGCTTGTGGAGAAGATGATAGTAAGAGAGAAGAGAATTAGAGAGAGAGAGAGAGAGAGAGAGAGAGAGAGAGAGAGAGAGAGAGAGAGAGAGAGAGAGAGATGATTGAGGGTGAGACTGAATATTTTTATTAACAAAAGATGAGGATACTTCCAATGCATTTATACAAGTGTTACATAACAATTGAGACCTAAAACAACTCATTAAACAACAAGAAAAAGCTAAAAATTATGCTCGTAACCGGTTAACACAAATCGTTAACCGATTACACAAACTAAAATCATAAATTCAAGTGTCAGGTGTAATTGGTTAACATGTTTCGTTAACCGGTTACAGCAACTCAAAAACTACATTTTCTTGCTCCATAAGTGCTTTTTGTTCCCGCTATAACCTTATACCCCGTTTTAATCGGTTACAACACTTAAATTATCAGGATTTCATCCAACACCATAATGTTCGGTTGGTTTAATCAACTACAAATTGAAATGTTCATCCATTCTCAACACTAAGGCTTAACATTGACTAATCTAACAAAAAATAATAACGTCACAAATTCAACTTGATTTATTTTTGCATTGTCTCTCATTTGTTTTGAACACGTGGTGTACAAGATAAAAATTCTAGTAAGAAATAAATGATAGAAATTCCGATGATTATATTTTTGTGGTTTGGCAACCTTTTGAAATTTTCAAAGGAATTGAGAAATACTTAAAGTATAAAATAGAGATTAGTTTGAAAATTTCAGACATAAATCGATTTGATCGAATTGGATAAATTACTTTATCTATATTTCTTTTTTTTTCATAACTTTTTTGTCTCACACATCAAATTTGATATGCTTGAATTTTAAACTATTTTTCGATTTGTCACCATTGTATTATGTTTTGTAACCTTTTATCCTAAAAAATCATTTGAACTATTTTCTCGGTCTAGTAGTTTAATGACTGAAATTTTAGCTTTTAAAAATAAATAAGTGAAATGTAACAAATTTCTTTTCGGTATGATATTTTTGTCAAGCTGGATTAACGGTTGCAAACCACTTGAACTTAAAAAAAATTAAATATTTATTTTATTTGACTCCAATCTAATACACATTTTCTTTTAGATTATAATTTACATGGATATTCCTAGTAAGTCAGATGTCCAAATCTTCTTTCTAAATATTATTGTAGAGCAGGATTAGGTAATACTAAGAACCACTACAAATTGATTATTTCAATTTGTAGAGACAGCTACAGATTGTATATTTTTTAGATCTACTAACTTAAACACAAAATCTAATGGCTAGTCTTTGATATAGAACGAGTCCACAGTTATTATACTATACTAGTCAAGGTGATGATATAGTGTGAACATGCATGGGTTTGATTTCAACCAATGTAAACTGAAACTGTAATTAATAGAAAATACAAACATATATAAATGCAAACCAAAGAAGATAAGAGTATATAAAACAAAGTTTAGCAAAATGAATGGACAATTCATGCATAAATTAAAAAACAATAATAATTAGTTAATTAATAATGTACATATTATCGAGTCAACATTAGACCTCAACCACGTTCTATAAATATCACTTTTTCATACTCACAATGCAGCAATTATTCAACCTCACTAAGCTATATTATCAATTTGCAGTTGTTCAAATTACTCGTCATGGTTCAAATTACAAAAGCAAGTCTAGTCGAAATGTTGAATTACATATCAAACCTAGTTAGATCCTCCTTAACTATTTTCTTCCCCTCTCTTATAAGGTTTTTTTTTTTTTATCTTAAGCTTTTAATTTGAATTCTAGATTTTAAAAACATTTATATTTAAAATTTTATTTTACAGTTTATCTTTTATGTTTTTAGAATGAATAGGATATTGTTGTTGAATAGTATTAATTTTTTTAAATAGATATAAATTATTGATTCTGAGTTCAATCTCTCACAGCTATATCTTTTCTTATGATATATTAATGTAAACAATTAATTAATATTTATAAATCAATAATTTTTAAATTAAAAAACTCACATTTAAAAAAAAATTATGAAAACTTTTTAAAAATAAAAGAAATTATTTCAAACTCATTTGATGTAAATTAAAATTGAAGAATAATTTTGACATTTCATGACTTATTATTAATTATTATTTTAAAATGATAAAAAAAACATATAGTTTTAGAAAAGATATATCTCAAAAATAATATTTAAAATAATTTATTTAAAATAGTTTTGTGTGTGTTTGATTCTATAGTTGAAAAAATTAATTTAAAATTAATTTTGACTAAAATCAATTGAAGGTTAAATATTTTATGTTTAAATATATTTAAAAGTGAGTTATAAATTAACTTTGAGTTATATATATTATATTAAATGATCATTTATTGTCATCTAATTGTTAACTAGATTGAATATGTACCTTAACTTATACCACAGTAAATATACTAAAGTTGAGTTGCAAACAATGAGATGGATCGTTAAGTCTGGGAAAAAATTGATCAGAGATTCATTTTTCTTTTTTAACGATTCAAAGGTTAAAGTTTAGTACTAGTATAAATATTAACTAATTATTTTATGTATATATGGATACAGGACGCGTGGTGGAGAAAAAAAGTCAAAGCTCAGCAAAGGAGGTGGTGGACAAATTAATAAGAAAGGACCAAAGGAGACAAAGAGTTTGGAAAACAACTCCAAAAATTCAGAGGCAGAATGATAACAATGGATTGAAGCTAGGTAGTGTGCAAAGATAAAATACTACTAGTAACTAGTCTATATCTATGGAAATGGTGATGTTTGTATTTTTAAATAAGAGTAATTGTTTGAGTGTTCCCCTAGACGAGTTGATTAATAACAGAGAAAAAAGTGTAGACCCCCAGATTTGTCATGTATAATTATGTTCCATATGCAGATAATATATATTTTTTGAGCAAATAAAAGAGTTTTTATTTTTTTTTTAAAAACAGTTGAGGTAGAAAATCAATCCTAAGATCCAGATCTCTAAAAGACTAAATAACTAAATAAAGTAAGAGAACTTATACAAATTCATAATCTATGATAAAAATTGGTCAGTTTCTTAGTCCCACCCGTCAAAGTATGTATCAATAATGTCTCGAACTCGAAGCCCTCCTTTGTACTATTCTAGAATATAATCGTGTTCCTAATGCTCCAAACCTGGTATATTGTCTCTACTACAACCATCTTTACTAATTTTGAGATACACCATTTCTCACGAGTCATTCTAGTAAGCCAATTGATCTCAGGATCTCAATCATCTGGATTATGATTAATGTGTAACCAATTCAGAATTTTAATTCAAATCCTCTTAGTTTTCACACACTCAAAAAATAGGAGCTTACAACTTTCCAGATCGCCACAGTAAACACAAAGTCCATTTGTACTTGTTCCAAACTTCACCAATCTATCTTTAGTTGGAATCCGTTTTTGGCAAGTCACCCATAACATGAAACTTGCTCTAGGGCGCACAAGATTGCCAATAAGCATCTTCCTCCACAACACTTTCGATTTATCACCTCGAAGCATTTGATACACAAGTCTTGTCACATATTTCCCTGATGCCTGAAAATAATTCCACACAACAGTATTCATGATAGAGTCTTTATGCTTGAATATTGCTTTCATTATCCAACAACAATGAGCAACAAGTTTATATGTTCTAGTATCTTCTTTATTCATATAAAACTTGTGAATGCAGCTAATCCATAATTTGTCCTTCTTTGCACTAATGTTCCACAACATTTTTTCCATTGTGGATTTATTCCACTTATTAAGTGCAATCATATTTATCCCACCAGCAGACACAAGATCACAAACATTATCCCACAAAATGGGAGCTTTTTTACTACGGCTATCTTTTTTTGTTCAGAGGAAATTTCTACATAGTCCCTCCATAGGAACGAGCACCTTCTTTGGTAAAGGAAAAATTTGCAGCCATTATTTGCTATTGAAAACATGACACTTTTCACAAGTTGCAATCTCTCAGCATAAGATAAAATTATAGTACTCCAATGGTAAATTCTCACTAACATCTTTTCAATCAAAGGTTGTAAATTAGCAATGGAAAGTTTCCTACTATCTAGGGGAACCCCCATATATTTAAAGGGCATCTTACCTATATCAAAACATGTTTCTTGCTAAATAAGCCTCTAAGTCACAACATTCATACCTCCAAAGTAAATTTTTCTCTTTAGGATGCTCATCTTTAGACCAGTAGTGGTAGAAAATTCCCTAACTTTTCCCATTATTAGCTTAATAGACTCCATATCTCCTCTAACAAACATGAGAACGTCATCTGCAAAACAAAGATTAATAATTTTCAACTTCTCACATTTATGGTGGAAGTTGAAATTGTGATTATTATTCAGTCCATGGATAACTCTATAAAGATACTCCATGATGAGGACAAACATGAGGGGAGAGATATGATCTCTCTGTCTCAAACCCTTTTTCTTTGAGAATACCACTAGGACCACAATTGATAGCGAATTTGTAAGATACAGGTGTTACATAAGCTAGGATCCACTTTATAAACTTTTGAAGGAAGCCCATAGCACGTATAATTTGAGCCAAAGAGGTTTATTCCATAGTGTCATACACTTTTTGTATGTCCATTTGGACTATACATTTAGGAAAAATACACTTCCTCTCATAGCCTCTGACCAACTCTTGTGCAATCATTATGTTATCATGTATAATCCTCCCAGGTACAAAGGCAGATTGGTTCTCATTGATGATGGAGTTTATAGCTTTGCCAAGTCTTACAGTTAGGATCTTTTATATCATCTTATAGATGGTAATGCAACAAGAGATGGGTCTCATATCCTTTATGGTTGTAACATCAAAATATTTAGGAATCAAAGTGACTAAGGAGCATTTTATAGCTTTTTACATCCTGCGGGTATCAAAGAATTCCTTAATAGCAGCAATAATATCATGTTTAACCAATTACCAGGAATCTTTGAAAAAGAAAGAGGTATACCCATCAATCCCAGGTGCTTTAGTGTTTCCTATATTCAGTAAGGCATTCCATATCTCTGTATCCTCATATCTTCGGTTCATTTCTCTAAAGGAATAGTTTCCTTTAGATTTTCTTAGAGACCTATTGATCACATACGTTGAAGTGGAAATAGCTTCTCCCCACAAGATGTGAGACAAATTCTTCTCTTTCAGCATGCTCCTTATCATATTAAGCAAAGTTCTATTTCTTCTTTCAAAAAGACCATTGTGATAAGGGGTGTATGGAGCAGTAACCTCATGCTCAATTCCATTCTCCTCATAGAACTTCTGGAACCCTGTAGAGTTGTACTCACCTCCACCATCAGTTCCGAGAACTTTCAACTTTTGACCCTTCTGTTTCTCGGCCTTCACCTTGAACTTCTAGAACTCAGTAAACACATCATGCTTAAACTTGATGAGTGCTACCCATGTCATTCTTGTGAACTCATCCACAAATTACACAAAATACTTGTTTCCTCCAAGTGAAGGTATTGGAAATGATTCACATACATCTGAATGCACTACTCCCAAAGCATGATTTTCTCTTGGGGCTACTTCTAATAAAAATAGAAATCTAGGTTGCTTGTCTTTCATCCATACCTCACATAACTTATCATGCTTCATAATCTTCGGAATGCCATGTACCAGCTTCTGAGAACTCATATGCCCTAAGCTTTTGAAGTTTAGATTCCCAAATCTCTTGTGCAACAAATCACTATCACCTTCAGTGCCTTCTACACTAAGGAATTTAGTCTCAGTTGTCTTAACATTCATGTTGAATATTTTGTTTCTTCCATGCTCAGATTTTAGAATCAACTTTCGATTGTAGTTGTAACACGGTGGGAGAACTGACTTGGGTGTTTTGCGTTTGATCACAATTGTTGCGGATAGCAAGAGTCGCCACTGACTTTTCTTTTATCCAATAAGGAAAGGCTGAAAAGAACAGGAAAGACCTTTTGAGATTATTTCTTGAGTTCGGGGGGGTAGGTTATGAAAAGGGAAGGTATTAGCACTCTTTTCATCCGTAGTTATCTACGGGCTCTTAGTTGCTTGCTAGATCACTTGCTTTTGTTTGAAAATGTGCTTGTGATGTGGGTTTAAAAGTATTTTGAAAAACGTATTTGTAATGATTCTCGTTTCTATAAGAATGTGTACAAAGTGTTGGTTTTGAAAATAGTTCAAAGAGGTGTTTGTGGAATGTGTTTTTGAAAATGATTTTGAAAAGTGTCTTTGTAATTATTCTCGTCTCTATAAGAATGCGTACAAAGAGCTTTGTCTTTTGAAAATGTTTCAAATGAAAGTGTTGTTGTATAAAATGTTTTTGTTATGAGCAAGCGAGCAACTATGAGCATCCTACCTACTCAAAAGGTCTATGTTCTTTTCTTCCTCCTTTAGATGTTGCTATCTTACCATTTATTTGGTAAGAATCCCCATCGTTGGATATGAAGGGACGAGCGTGGGTCGTTTGTACAGTCATAGAAGGCAACCTATGAGACGCTTTAGCAATTTTCATTTAGGGACTAGATCGTTTACCGAAAGCAACATTGAGGGTCATCGAGGAACTACGATCTTTTATCGAGGGTCTTTGTTAAAATGCTCATATTCGAGGGACGTGACTATTTTTCCAAGGCAACAAGTGGGATTAACCTAGAGGTGCATGTGTGAATAATGTGTTTGATTTGCATGCATTTTGTCTTTAATTTTTGGGTTGTCTAATTGTTGGTTTTATCTTGCCATACATCCTAATTACTAAAATTTGTACAAAAGCAATTAAAACGCAGAAAATAAATCCTACACTATTACAACCATATTTAATAGCAAGAAAATGTAAAGACAAAACAAAATAAAAGGAGGAAAAATGAGTGCTTTGATTTGGGCAGTAGAACTATTCGATTCTGCTTCTCTGGCTCCCTTCGATTTGGGCTTAGCATGGAGCATGAAATGCAGCCTTCGATTATGCCTTTCTGCTTTCTTTGATTGAGGCCTGGAACCAGCATGAGGTGCACTCTTCACCTCAAGCTCCTTGCTTCCTTATTCTATTGGGCCTGGCAGTCAGTGTGGACAACTTTCGTTTCTCCCTTTTTTGCTCCTTCGAATGGTCTGGAAGTCAATGTGTGGCGAAGCCTAAGGCCACACTCTTTGTTCTGCTTGCAACTGTGAAGCAGCCAGGGGGAAGCCTAAAGCTTCTATTCATACTTCCTTCATCTTGTTTTCTTTCGTTTGGGATTTAAATAATAACATAGCCTGAGGCCATGTTAGCATTGTTTCATGGCCAGATTAATTCTTAAAACATGTTTGATAAACAAAGAAAACAAGCCATAAGATTAGTAACGAAAACAAAAAAGAGAAGGTGGAAATGAAATGAACCAAAGGTTAATGATGATGTCTTGAACGAAAGGAAATGATTATTTACATGTTATGCTTGAAACGAAAAAACCTAAGGTTAAGAGAACTTACCTTGCTTGAAGCTAGAACGTGTGTTGGACCTTGATGGCTACCCTGAGTGCTTCTGGATTCAAAGGAAAGAAACAGGGGTATTGTTTCTAGTACTGGATTCAAAAGAGGAACCAAGCGCTGGATTACTTCAGATTTGAAAGAGAAAAAGAAACAAATGCTGTGTTTCTTTATATTCAAAGGGCCAAGGAAACAGGTGTGGTGTTTCTTCTGGATTCGAAGGGCCAAGGAAACAGGTGTTGTGTT